GGGCGCTGTCCCTCAGCTCTTCAGCTCAAGGCTAGCGCTCTACCACTTGAGCCACAGCGCCACTTCTGGCTTTTTTCTTTTTGCTTATGTGGTGCTGAAGAATCGAACCCAGGGCCTCGTGCATGCAAGGCAAGCGCTCTACCACTGAGCCACCTTCCCAGCCCCCCTACCTTCTTTTAAAAGGTGGTTGAAACCACAATAGAGAATTTCTTTCATGTAAGTTGATTTTCTAATATACTGTTAGAATCTGATGGATTTTTCTATTAGTTTTACTCTTTTTTTTTTGTCAGTCATAGGGTTTGAACCCAAGTCTTAGGTGCTGTCCCTGAGCATTTGTGTTCAAGGTTAATGCTCTACCATTTTGAGCCTCAGCTCCGCTTCCTGTTTTTTAGTGGTGAATTGGAGGTAAGAGTCTCACAAGCCGAGCGCTTGATGGCTCATGCTTGTAATGCTAGCTACTGAGTGGACTGAGATCTGAGGATCCCAGTACAAAGCCAGTCCAGGAGGGAAAGTCAATAAAACTCTTATCTCCGTTAACTACTCAGAAAAAGCTGTTGTTCAAGCCCTAGAGTGCTAGCCTTGAGCACAAAGGGGCTCAGGGTCAATGCCCAGGCCCTGAGTTCAAGCCCCAGGACCAGCAAAAAAAAAAAAAAAAAAGTCTCACATACTTTCCTGCCCAGGATGGCTTCAAATCACAATCCTCAGATCACAGCTTCCTGAGTGGCTAGTATGACAGGTGTGAGCCACCAGCATGAGGCTAGTCTTATTCTTTTGACCAGTAAATGTCCAACGTCGTAGCTTTGGTTTTCTCCAGCAGAATTTCCAGGTCTGTAGCTGCTATGGCAGGGCTTCTTAGGGGCCCTCTGTGCTCAGACCTTGTCTGTGTTTGGGTCTGCAGGGACCACCTGCTCCCAGAGTGGATCCCCTTGTTGGCCGAGTGTCCTGTGGTTTCCCGGATGTATGAGGACAGCGCGATCCTGCGAGACCACATGGCCGTCAGCACCCTCATCCGCGTCCTGCAGACCATCCAGGACTTCGCCATTGTCTTGGAAGGCTCTCTCATCAAAGGGGTGGATGTGTAGCCTCGCAGTCCTGACCCTTGGCTTGCTGTCCCTTCTCCAGCCGTGGGGACCCCACTTGGGCCTGTGGCTGTGGTGAGCACCGGCAGGGCTCCCCCACCGTGGCCCCCATGCCCAGCTCCACTCTGCAGCCTAGGCAAAGTGCCCTATTGTAGTTCATTTGAACCTGGAATTTAGTATAAAATAGAGTATTTTCATGTGTTAGATGTGTGTAAATATGCTATCTTCTTTAAGAAATTCTATTACTCTAATAAGATACTTTTCCTAGATTGACTATTCCTGTGATTTAAAAAAAATGAAGTAGCTTAAAGTGGGGGGCATGGGGTGGGGAGCGTGGTGCTAGTCAGGAAGAAGCCAGTGAACCTGTAAATCCCCCACCACCAGCCACCCAGCAGTTCCAGATGCAGCCGTCCTTCTGTCTGTCCATCCACCCACCCTGCTGTCCTGTTCCCTGTGTGGAGAATGAATGTATGCACTATACCTGCTGTACCATAGTCCTTGCTGTGTTCTAAGTTATAAACCATTTTATAAGTCTTTTTGAAAATTGTTTTCAGTCAACACAAGGAAAAAAATCTAATTCCAGTATTGAAACCCGGGCTGGGGCTGCTGAGCACAGGGTAGGAAGCCCTGGGGAAGCCAGGCCAGCTTCATCCTTGGCATTTTTATTACTGTTATTTGAGGCAGGATGGGAGATAAGAGTTGGAGCATTAGGGTCATTGGAGTCATAATGCCTCAGGAAGCACTTGATTCCCCTGTGTAAACCCACCAGCTGGCCCAGCCCCCTTTTTGGTTAAGTCCCAGCCCCTCAGAAGGAATGGCAGGGAGGGGAGGAGGTGGCATAGAATGTTTTCGTGAAAGTATTTGTTAGCCATAATAATTCAAATATCAGAACTAGAGGGAGGCGGAGCCCTTTCTGGGTGTCTGAAGGCAAGCTTTGTGTTCCTAGAAAGAGAAAAGAGTAGCCCAAAAGGACAAAAGACCAAAAGCTTTCCAGTGTGGTATTTATAAAGACACACAGTCAGCCCAGAGGCTTATACCTGAGTCCCAGCTCCTCAGGAGGCTGAGGCAGTTTGAAGCCATCTGAGTAGGAAAGTCCAGGAGACTTTATTTCCAGTTAACCACCAAAAAACTGGAAGTAGAGCTGTGGCTCAGGTAGTAGAGCAAACAAGCTCAGGGACAGTGCCCAGACACTGAGTTCAAACCCCAGGAGAGAAGGAAGGAAGGAACAAAGAAAGAAAGTCAATGAGCAGTTAGCTGTTGTCTCGAGATCATCTTCTGATTGGCACTGATGCCTGGTTAGCAGCAAGATGGCCTCAAACCCAAACCCGCCCTTCCATCTTCCCATCTTTCATGTGAGGGCCACACCATTCCGCAGCCCCAGCAATGCGCTGCTGAGACACGCTGAGAAACCTGCTGAAAGGGATCAGAAGATGGCTCCAGGGAGACCACAGGTTTGTTTACCTCAAAAGAAAGTGTAGCAGCCCTAGAGATACCAGAAGTGTCCTGTGGGCCACCATAGCACCTGGCACCCCATGTGCAAGGATGAGAGTCGATCTGCCACTGTTCCCAATGACACAGTGAGCACCCAGGGAATGGAGGTGACCTCCTGCCCCTCCCCAGCTTCCCTGGACAACCAAGGCCTGAACTACACCTAGCTGCAGGAAGCACCCAACCTCAGGGCATTCTAACCCAAATTCCTCCTGGATCTTTATTCATCCACCCATACAGATAAGAAATAATAGCCCCAGCCGGGCACAGTGGCTCCTTGTAATCCTAGCTACTCAGAAGGCTCAGGACTGAGTCCAGGCAGGAAAGCCTATGAGACTTTAACCTCCAACTAAGCAAAAAGCTAGATATGGAGGTATGCTTCCAATGGTAGAGTGCTAGCCTTGAGTGGAAAAAGGCAGGTGAGAGTGTGAGGTCCTGAATTTAAGCCCTAATACTGGCGCATGTGTGTGTACATGCATGTGCGCATGCGCACACACATGATATGTCCTAATGCTCATTTATGAAGACTATGAATTATTTTAACAGATTGCTCTGGAGCTATTAAAAGTATCATTTGTTGCAAAAACTGGGAGCAAAGTTGCATTCAAGCCTGTGAATGAAAGTATCATTTTACATGTTTCATCCCATCTTGTGTAGTATGACTGTACAGGATCATGTCTAATTAAAAACCTTGGCCCTCCTCTTCCCCAGGGAGGCTCTTCCTCCCCCTGGGACAGTCCCTCACCTCTACCCCCACCTCACTCCATACCCCCCAACAATGGGAAATCTTGGCCTTATTGAATAAATGTATTATTTGCAAGCAGCATCAAATCATTAAGATGCAAGTGTGAGGAGTAAGAAGTAGCCTTGCCCCCAGCCACGGCTTACCTAGTGAGTGTCAAGAAATCAGACTTCAGCCAGGCGCTGGTGTCCCACACCTATAACTATTCAGGAGGCTGAGGTGTGAGGATCACAGTTTAAAGGCAGCCTGGGCAGGAAATCCCGTGAGACTTATCTCCAAATAACCACCAGAAAACCAGAAGTATTGCTGTGGCTCAAGTGGTAGAGCGCTGGCCTTAAGCTGAAGAGCTGAGGGACAGTGCCCAGGCCCAGAGTTCAAGCCCCATGACTGACCCAAAAAATAAAAAAATAAACTAAACTAAGACACAATGCCAGGCCCTAAGTTCAAGCCCCAATATTGGCAATAAAATTAAAACAAAAAAGCAATAGACAAGAATATCAGATCTGAGACATCAGAAATTACTAAAGTATTTATTGAAGCTCTGGGAATCTAGCTCTTTATAATGGAATATCTTCTTTCTGCTAAGAATTACAATTTTAGGTAATTGAATGTTTTCTGTGAGGTTTACACATACTTGTCACAATGTTGGAAAGACAATCAGAACTTTGCCTGTTTATGTTTTGATATTACCACACCTTCACTGCCTAAGAATGGAGTCCAGAGCTCTTCCCTGCTTTCCTAAAGGGAAATGCATTTCCAGGCCATCTGTGTCTCTAAAGGGAAGTACATTTCCAGGTCATCTGTGTCTCTAGCCATCTCTATTCCTATATAGTTTGACATGTAGTTAGGGCATATAGTTTGGGCATAAGTAGGAAACCAGAAAGACAAATTAGTGCATTATTGATATGAAAATACATCGGCAAATCTGTTGAATAAGATGAATTCCAACTTCAGAAGATGTTGCTGTGATAGTACCATCAGAAGACTTAAGGCTAGGCACTGGTGGCGCACACCTGTAATCCTAGCTACTCAGGAGGCTGAGATCTGAGGTTGTAGGTTCGAAGCCAGCTATGACAGGAAAGGATGTGAGACTACTCAAAAAGCTGGCCGTGGTCCTTATGGCTCTAGTGGTAGAGTGCTAGCCTTGAGCAAAGAAGCTCAGAAACAGCACACAGACACACAAATACAATCTAAGGAAGGCCTGGCGTAGGATATATTCTAGAGTCCCTGGCTTCAGAAAAAAACAAGGATTCCCAAAACTCCTTAGAGCTGGTGTCCAGTCAAGGCTAAGACCAGCTTCATAAAACATACTAGAAAACACTGATGATTGTAATCCTAGCTACTGGGGAGGCGGAGATCTGAGAATTTCAATTCAAAGCCAGCCCAGGCCAGAAAGTCTGTGATTACCTCCAGTCAACCAGCAAAATGCAAGAGGTAGAGGTGTGGCTCAAGTGGTGTGTGCTAGCCCTGAGCAGGAAAAGCTACTGGACAGTGCAAACATCAGAATGAATCATTATCAAAGAGGGAAAAAGTTTCCTTAAACAAAATTTTGAAGGAATCCATGCATCCTGAAGTGGTCCATGGGGGACTCGAAAATGTCTTGGTCCCAAACTGTAAACACCAGATTCTGTTGAGAGTAGACACATTTATCCAAGGATTTCCTGTTGTCAATTAGATGAAGGTGTGAAACTTAGAAAAACCCTCTGTGCTACTTGAACCATGTCACCATTTCTTGTCTTTTTTTTAATAGCATTTTTGCATTTAAATTATTGTTTTCATTTGTATTGTTAACACAATATATCAGAACTGGAATTTCTTTCCCTCATCTGAATATAACATGAAATTTAAAGAGTATTGTGATTTTAAGCACTTTAACATATCAGACAAACCGACGTGGGTTTTTCAGGGTTTGGAGTACATTTCAATATGACTTTTCATGCTTTGTTCTTTACAAATAAAACTGTGGGGTTGATACTTAAGTGTTGCTTCATTATTGGGGAATCTGTTTCACAGGGCTTTAAAAAAAAAAAAGTCTTTGGGCCGGCTGCTGGAGACTTTTTATCTCCAATAAACTACTCCAAAAAAAAGAGCTGGAAGGGGCACTGTGGCTCAAGTGGTGAAACACTAGCCTTAAGCACAGAGAAGCTCAGAGACAGAGCCCAGAACCCGCCAACAAGTAAAAATGAGTAAAAAGTCTTTGGGAAACAGAGATCATATCCAAACCATTATATAGTTTTAAAAAGCCCTACCAGGGGCTGGGAATGTGGCTTGGTGGTAGAGTGCTTGCTTAGCATGCACAAAGCCCTGGGTTCCATTCCTCAGTACCACATACATAGGAAAAGCCGTTAAGTGGTGGCTGTGGCTCAAGTGGTAGAGTGCTAGTCTTGAGAAAAAGAAGCTCAGGGACAGTGCCCAGGCCCTGAGTTCAAGCCCCAGGACTTGGGGGGGGGGGTAAGGGGGAATCCCTACCAGGCAACTGGTTATCCAGGAGTAAGAAAAGATGAACCCTAGCTGGGCACCGATGTCTCACACCTGAAATCCTAGCTACTCAGGAGGCTGAGATCTGAGGATCACAGTTCAAAGCCAGCCTGGGCAGGAAAGTCTGTGAGACTCTTATCTCCAATTAACCACCAGAAAACCAGAAGTGGGAAGGCCATGAGACTCAGTATCTCCAATTAAACACCAAAAAGCTGGAAGTAGAGCTGTGGCTCATAGTAGAGCACTAATTTTTTTGTTTACTTTTTTGTCAGACATGGGGCTTGAACTCTGGGCCTGGGCGCTGTCCCTGAGCTCTTCAGCTCAAGGCTACACTCTAACACTTGAGCCACAGAGCCACTTCTTAGAGCACTAATCTCAAGTGGGAGGAAAAAAAGGCTCAGAGACAGTACCCAGAGTTCAAGCTGTAGACACACACACACACACACCAAAAGAAGAAGAAAAACAACAGCAAAGAGAAAAACAGGGAAAGGAAGGTAGCAAGCATTGGAAAGTCAAAGTGTGGCTCAAGGTGTAGAGTACCAATCTTGAGTAAAAAGGCCTACCTAGATGAGGCCCTGAGTTCAAGCCTGAGTACCAACAGAAAAAGAGAAAAACAAGGAAATAAAAGAATTTTAGGGCAGGCACCAGTGGATCATTCCTGTAATCCTAGCTACTCAGGAGGCTGAGATCTGAGGATCATGGTTCAAAGACAGCCCAGGTAGGAAAGTCTGTGAGACTCTTATCTCCAATTAACCACCAGAAAACCAGAAGTGGCACTAACAGAATTTTAGTTACTATATGGATGTAGCATGCTCCATTTGACATT